CTCTTTCAAGGTAAACGGCTACATTCTGTTTACAGGTGCACTTACTGTATTTGACTGCACTGACAGTTGATGAACTGCTGAACAACCTTAGACTAATATCTTTTTGCCAGAGCCCTCTGAGCAAGCAGCCCCTTTATATCTCATCTAGTCAGGTGTGAACATGTCTGTTCATCTCTCTCATTTTGTATGAATTTATGGAGAAGTGTAACTATTTACTGACATCAGTAAGTAGTTACACTACTCCTGCTCTGTACTTAATGCACAGCCTTGACAGTGTATTAATCTTCTCATATAAATCTCTCCTCCTCCCCAGCCCACAGCCCCACAGCCAACCTCCATTATATCAGAAGACTCCAGCAGTATAGCTGACGTCCACCTGAAGGTCCCAGACACCAACACACCAACCAACCCTAACACACAGCAAAACCAACATAAGAGAGTCAGTATTCTCAACCATCCCACCTCTCAATACTCTCTGTTTGAACTGGAGACATTCTTTACTCACTGGGCCCCTGATAAAGACTCTGTACTGGCCCCCAGTGGCCCTTCATGTTCTTTCACCAATGATGACACAGCAGAGTGTGACAAGGATGGAGTTATTTTCATAGAGAGTGAACCATCAGTTGCCTCTGCAGTGAGGATGAGTGGAGGGCAGAGGGCATCCTCTGCAGCTGGCCACTCTACAATTCAAGGTAACATATCTTCATCTTTTTCACTCGTCTTCTTCCTTTTTGTGTACAGGCTGTCGCTGCTTTTGGTTTCATTTTGATAATGTCCAGTGTTGATAACTGCTGCAACAGAAGTATAAGTAAAGATCAGATAAGTCAAGATGTTAACAGGCTACAGAGACATTTCAAATGCCTTTTAATTTGACATGTTTCCTCAGACCACATCCACCTTAAGCTAAGTTTGTCTCTGCTTTGGCTCTTGACAATGCAAAGCTTTTTTTACACCCAAAATGGGTCTTCTATAAGTTCTTCTTAGTGTTCCTGTCAAACTGCTGCTCAGGTTCTGTAGGTTCCCTCTGTGAAGAGGGAAAACCAAGCTTTTCAAACATGTTTATATCACAGGTCAAGTGATAGTGTTTTGATAGATGATGTACAGTACTTTATTGTGACAGTTGAACCAGGATCAACTGCTGAATTACTATACTATTTTTATTTATTTTTTGGCAGGGGAGCTTTTTCTTTAAATCGTGTTGTATCTAGTGTAGACTTGTGTCTGTTCATCTCTGCACCTCGTTTAAGAACTTTTTCAACATAACTCATTAGATGCTAGAAAACAACAGTGTGCTATTGATGCATCTGTCTGTTCAAACCACACAATCCTTCAGTCAGCTTCAGAGCTAGTACCATCAGTGTGCATATGTGTGTGTGTGTGTGTGTGTGTGTGTCTGTGTGTGTGTGTGTGTGTGTGAGAGTGTTTACAGTGAGGAACAGAAGTATTTGAACACCCTGCGATTTTGCACGTTTTCCCACTTAGAAATCATGGAGGGGTCTGAAATTCACATTGTAGGTGCATTCCCACTCTGAGAGACAGAATTACAAAAAAATTTTCAGGAAATCACATTGTATGATTTTTAAAGAATTTATTTGTCTTGCACTGCTTAACATAAGTATTTGAACACCTGAGAAACAGCAAGAATTCTGGCTCTCAAAGACCTGTTACTGTGCCTTGAAAAAGTCCACCTCTACTCCACTCATTAATCTAAATTAGTAGCACCTGTCTGAGCTCTTTAAAGACACCTGTCCACCCCACAGTCAGTCAGACGCCAACTACTACCATGGGCAAGACCAAAGAGCTGTTAAAAGACACCAGAGACAAAATTGTGGACCTCCACAAGGCTGGAAAGGGCTACGGGGCAATTGCCAAGCAGCTTGGTGAAAATAGATCAACTGTTGGAGCAATTGTTAGAAAATGGAAGAGGCTAAAGACTGTCAGTCTCCCTTGGACTGGGGCGCCATGCAAGATCTCACCTCGTGGGGTATCACTGATGATAAGAAAGGTGAGGAATCAGACGGGAACTACAGGGGAGGAGCTGGTCAATGACATGAAGAGAGCTGGGACCACAGTTTCAAAGGTCACTGTCGGTAGAACACTACGCCGTCATGGTTTCAAATCATGCATTGCACGGAAGGTTCCCCTGCTCAAGTCATCACATGTCCAGGCCCGTCTGAAGTTTGCCAAAGACCATTTGGATGATCCAGAGGAGGCATGGGAGAAAGTCATGTGGTCAGATGAGACCAAGGTAGAACTTTTTGGTCTAAACTTCACTCGTCGTGTTTGGAGGAAAAAGAAGGATGAGTTGCATCCCAAGAACACCATCCCTACTGTGAAGCATGGGGGTGGTAACATCATGCTTTGGGGGTGCTTTTCTGCGAAGGGGACAGGACGTCTGCACTGTATTAAGGAGAGGATGAATGGGGCCATTTATTGTGAGATTTTGAGCAACAACCTCCTTCCCTCAGTCAGAGCATTGAAGATGAGTCGTGGCTGGGTCTTCCAACATGACAACAACCCGAAGCACACAGCCAGGACAACCAAGGAGTGGCTCCGTAAGAAGCATATCAAGGTTCTGGAGTGGCCTAGTAGAGGTGGACTTTTTCAAGGCACAGTAACAGGTCTTTGAGAGCCAGAATTCTTGCTGTTTCTCAGGTGTTCAAATACTTATGTTCAGCAGTGAAAGACAAATAAATTCTTTAAAAATCATACAATGTGATTTCCTGAAATTTTTTTTATAATTCTGTCTCTCAGAGTGGGAATGCACCTACAATGTGAATTTCAGACCCTTCCATGATTTCTAAGTGGGAGAACTTGCAAAATCGCAGGGTGTTCAAATACTTCTGTTCCTCACTGTATGAGTTTAAAAAAAGAATAGGTTTTGTAATTAAAACTGATGTTTTGACTTATGCTTTGACAGGGCTCTGGTGAATATGTACAAGGCAGAGAAATCACCGGCAGTGCAGCATGTTGGCGTCTCTGCCTTTTGCCAAGTGGTCTCCTTTGGGTCTCCTCTTTTCCTGTGTGGAGATACTGGGACAGGTGCGCACACACTCACAAACATACTCGTACACTGTACACAGAACTTTATTTAGCTTTTTTCAGAATACCCACACTAAGTTAAATCGTGCTGAAACTACAAGTGCAGAACATTTCTCTTGCCCAGTCCCCAGCCCAACAACCCAGTCACCAAAGCCGCTTTATGCATGTGCAACAAAAAGTCCCCATAAACAAACAAGTCCATAGTGTTTGTGTATACAAAGCATTACATATTATTCTCAACACATAAGCTCTCTTCATTCATTAATAAAACTTGTTCATGGATTAAACTGAGATAAATTATATAATCCAGTAATAATTTGCACTTTGTTGGCCTCGGCTGTGTTCAAGTGCTTTATACAGTGCCTTGCGAAAGTATTCGGCCCCCTTGAACTTTGCGACCTTTTGCCACATTTCAGGCTTCAAACATAAAGATATAAAACTGTAATTTTTTGTGAAGAATCAACAACAAGTGGGACACAATCATGAAGTGGAATGAAATTTATTGGATATTTCAAACTTTTTTAACAAATAAAAAACTGAATAATTGGGCGTGCAAAATTATTCAGCCCCTTTACTTTCAGTGCAGCAAACTCTCTCCAGAAGTTCAGTGAGGATCTCTGAATGATCCAATGTTGACCTAAATGACTAATGATGATAAATAGAATCCACCTGTGTGTAATCAAGTCTCCGTATAAATGCACCTGCACTGTGATAGTCTCAGAGGTCCGTTTAAAGCGCAGAGAGCATCATGAAGAACAAGGAACACACCAGGCAGGTCCGAGATACTGTTGTGGAGAAGTTTAAAGCCGGATTTGGATACAAAAAGATTTCCCAAGCTTTAAACATCCCAAGGAGCACTGTGCAAGCGATAATATTGAAATGGAAGGAGTATCAGACCACTGCAAATCTACCAAGACCTGGCCGTCCCTCTAAACTTTCAGCTCATACAAGGAGAAGACTGATCAGAGATGCAGCCAAGAGGCCCATGATCACTCTGGATGAACTGCAGAGATCTACAGCTGAGGTGGGAGACTCTGTCCATAGGACAACAATCAGTCGTATACTGCACAAATCTGGCCTTTATGGAAGAGTGGCAAGAAGAAAGCCATTTCTTAAAGATATCCATAAAAAGTGTCGTTTAAAGTTTGCCACAAGCCACCTGGGAGACGCACCAAACATGTGGAAGAAGGTGCTCTGGTCAGATGAAACCAAAATCGAACTTTTTGGCAACAATGCAAAACGTTATGTTTGGCGTAAAAGCAACACAGCTCATCACCCTGAACACACCATCCCCATTGTCAAACATGGTGGTGGCAGCATCATGGTTTGGGCCTGCTTTTCTTCAGCAGGGACAGGGAAGATGGTTAAAATTGATGGGAAGATGGATGGAGCCAAATACAGGACCATTTTGGAAGGAAACCTGATGGAGTCTGCAAAAGACCTGAGACTGGGATGGAGATTTGTCTTCCAACAAGACAATGATCCAAGACATAAAGCAAAATCTACAATGGAATGGTTCACAAATAAACATATCCAGGTGTTAGAATGGCCAAGTCAAAGTCCAGACCTGAATCCAATCGAGAATCTGTGGGAAGAACTGAAAACTGCTGTTCACAAATGCTCTCCATCCAACCTCACTGAGCTCGAGCTGTTTTGCAAGGCGGAATGGGCAAAAATTTCAGTCTCTCGATGTGCAAAACTGATAGAGACATACCCCAAGTGACTTACAGCTGTAATCGCAGCAAAAGGTGGCGCTACCAAGTATTAACTTAAGGGGGCTGAATAATTTTGCACGCCCAATTTTTCAGTTTTTTATTTGTTAAAAAAGTTTGAAATATCCAATAAATTTCGTTCCACTTCATGATTGTGTCCCACTTGTTGTTGATTCTTCACAAAAAATTACAGTTTTATATCTTTATGTTTGAAGCCTGAAATGTGGCAAAAGGTCGCAAAGTTCAAGGGGGCCGAATACTTTCGCAAGGCACTGTACATGTGCTGGTATGTGCAGTCTTTGGCAACTCTGGAACAAGGAGGCAGCATCAGCCTCAGCAGCCTGGAGGTTCAGCTGGAGACACTTCTAGAGTGTCGTCACATTCAGCCCACCAGGTGCACCACCCTTCCTGCCAGCTTTAACTACATTTCAACTCATAAGTAATCAGTTCTTTTATCACCTCAATCATTTGATTCATGTTTTTCCTCTGCAGAGACAGGTTTGGAGCAGAGGCTCTGGCTTTGCTCAGCGGAGTGGGCATTTCACTTGCTGCTTATGTCATCACCTGGCTAGACAGGAAGGGGAGGGGCTTTCCTATCTACCTCATCTCACAGCTTGCTCTCTGTCTCGCATTGGTGAGGCATGCATCACAGCATACTTCAACCATGGAAAACAAAAAGAGTTTTTAGCACTTTATTTCGCTGAGGTTCACATAACACATTTAAATCAAATTTGTTCTTTTCATACAAGTTGCCCAAAATGCAGTTTCCCAAAAGGTTGATTTAGTCCTTTAAATACTGTATCTCCCTTTAGCATAGATAGTTTGATGTGACATCAGTGTACAGTACACGTTTCTCCTCCCAAGTGATGGTGTTTTTGTTTCTTCTTGTTCAGCTGAGGAGGAGCCTGTAGGGTGGGGTCATGTGTTGACATCGCTGCAGGTGCCTGAGCTGACAGTGGATGAGAACCAATCAGTAGGCAGCTTCCTGACACTGTATGTCTTTATCCTGCAGTGTCCTAACACTGAATACACAGCAGTCAGTGAGAGGAGGATACTGGCTCTAATTAAAACATGGACCAGTCAGATCTTCCCCAGGTTTGAGCCTTCCATTGTTTCATTTCGTTGCCTTTTGGGGCTTCTAAAACTTCCATCAGTTTGCCTTGTTGGACTTTGTTTGATGATCTGTTTCATTTGTACTAACTAATATAAATGCTATGATGTGTTTTGTGTGTGCAGTGGTCCAGGTGTTGAAGCCGAACTGTTTCTTTGGTGGCACAAAGCACAGAATCTGATCTGTCAGCGGAACAGCTACAACCACAAGCAGGCCAGACAGAAGTGTCAGGAGTTGTCATGAGTTTGCTGAAGTTGCAAACCAGGCTGATTCAGCTGGGAGAAGAAAGGCTGAACTCTGGACTGCTAGGAGCTGTAGGTCTGGGGAAGAGGTCACCTGTTTCAAATAGGTGTGCTCACATGTATAAGGATATTCACATGTATTTATTGAATACATTCCAGAATTTCCCCACAGATTTTATGAGTTTATTGCAAAGCACAGGAGAGGACAAGAGGAGATGACATGAAAGGAGAGGGAGAGGACAGAAGGGTAAAGTATAGAAGACGAGAGATGACAGTAGAATGGAGAGCAAAGCAGAAAGAACAGGAGATGAGGCAAGGAGGAGAATAAAGAATGAAAAGTCAAGGGGAAAAGATAGAAGAAAGCAAATGAGAGAAAAGAGATGAGAAGAAAGGAGAGAGAGTAAATGCACAGGGAAAGGAGAGGAACAAAGATAACGGGAAGAGTAGAGTAGAGTAGGTACTTTATTGATCCCACAGTGGGGAAATTTCTGTGTTACAGCAGCAATAGAGAACAACCAACATAACACCATAAGAGAGGGAGTAGACTGATGTAGACAAGTCTACCCAAAGGCCCTGCGAAAAGCTGGCTGGTGAGATCTCTCTTTTTACTAAACAGCGCATCAAAGAAGTCCGCTCTGACGTTTTTCCCCACCACCCTGTATAACTCGTAACAAACCTGAAACAAAAAACACAGCAAACCATGTATACCACCATAAACTGGGTGTTAAGGCCGTAGAAGGGTTTAGCTAATGTTCCTTTCTGATTAACTAAGTAATATAACAAGCCATCTGGACATCTAATATTACAATGTCATGGCTTTGTAGAGTGCATAAAATTAGCCATTTCACCAGCATTTTAATTAATGGAAAAATTAAATAACACAGGGTGTTATTTAAACAAACAAATAAACACCTGCTTCATATAAGAATAAAAAGAACAGCTAGAAACACACTACCTGAAAACTGTAATTTGAAAGTTTGATTTGAGAGTTTACCCTGGTATACTATAAACATTTTAGTGAATCCTGATTCCCAGTACTTTGCGATTCTTGCAGATCTGACGGAGAGGATTCAACAATGCGTCCAATGAGGCATCACAGAAGAATCAAATCAAATCAAATTTTATTTGTATAGCACCAAATCACAACAAAAGTCATCTCAGGACACTTTACAAAGTAAGGTCTAGACCTTACTGTTATCAATATTATTACATAGGGAAAACCCAACAAATCCCCCTTGAGCAAGCACTTGGCGACAGTGGGGAGGAAAAACTCCCTTTAACGGAAGAAACCTCCGACAGACCCCGGCT